CTCTTAAGAAGTGTATAAAGATGGAAAGAAAGAGAAAAAGAAGATGTCCGGCAGCAGCAAACTGGAACGTTCCATTACAATAGTGATAGGTGTATTGTTGGAAGTTTTGAATGGACAGATTAACAATAGATCATCCTGGAGCACTCTGTCTCTGTCTCTATGGTCACAAAGACCATAAAGAGTTAACCTTTATGAGTGCTTGACACATAAACCAGAATCAATTCAAATGCAAGATTATATTTGAACGAAGATTCAAACCCAGGGAAATAAATACATACTGATGAACAATCAACTGCATTTATCTTATATCATGAATGGTAGAATAAACTTACGCAATGTCATCAAAAACATTATTAGAGGGTAGTTCCCTGAAGTCTATCATGTTGTAAAATATATAGATCTTAGACAGAATGCCTACAATGTTGAGGTCTCCTGGTCTGTATTCCTTGTGAAGAAAAGGTAGAGGATCACTGACACTGCATTTAGAAATGGGACTCTTACATACCACCTGGGCCAAAATCATTGAAAATATGATTTCCAGTACCATCATCCTGAATGAATCAGTTCCTCTTTGAAGTTCAGTCTCCCAGCCTTGGCCAATAGGTTACTAGTTGTCAGTAACAATTATTCAACTTCAGTTACCTAACTACCGTATAAGTATCCCCAAGTTGAAATAGGCAAGGGGATGTTGCTATGCACATCCTCAGATTCTTTGATTTGTTGCATTGCCATTCTGAAACAGTGATTCTTGCATAGATATTTGATAATTTCAAAGAAGGCAATAACAAATTCCAAAGTACAGATGAAATGCACTATAAATGAGAAAATGCCATGGTTATATTTCAGTACAAATATTGCTAATGCTCTTCTGGTGAAATAACAAGAAATGGCAGATACCATAGTTGATAGAAGAACTCATTTGGGATTAGAACATGCAGTTGAAAAATATCTCCGTAATTACAAATGAGAAATGTCCAATTTAGAATTCAATAATAGGTAGGAGGCAACGTACTAGTCACATCTCTCCTGACCTGATATTCTCCACCATTATAATAATGAAAAGTCTTATTAAGGGCAATATCATAGTTGTCATTCCAGTAAGAATGTTAGGAAAAAAAATAGCATGTATTTCAAACAAAGCAGGTGAAAGGGAAGGGGAGGGGAGGAGAGGAGAGGAGAGGAGAGGAGAGGAGAGGCGAGGCGAGGCGAGGCGAGGCGAGGCGAGGCAAGGCAAGGCAAGGCAAGGCAAGGCAAGGCAAGGCAAGGCAAGGCAAGGAATCTCTACTCCTGAATTTCACAACTCACAATAAAGTTGTCTGCATATTGGAGAAAAATTAATCCTACTCTATCTATCTATGTCTGTTTGTGTGTGTAGAAAACTAGAAAATGTCTTACCTGATGAGGTACCCAGGCTCCCTGCTGGGTAACAACATCTCTCTCTGATGGGATTACCTGTGGTGTTCTCCAGGCTTATTGTGTGTGGGACTTTATTTTGCTACCCCTGGGGGGCCTCATATGCAGCTCAGGAATTCATGGCCCCATGTTGGTTATGGGCCTATCCAGGTTATTCATGTCCTGATTTAAAACTGTAGCCACATGGTCTGCTTGTCAGAGCAGTGACAATATGATTTGAAGGGGGTGTTTTCTTTGCCTCCTTTGTCATGGTCAACATCATGCCCTGATATAAGATTCTCCTATGTTATATCTTTCTCCAAAGAGGCAGGTCCTATTCAATCAGTCCTCCCTAGCAACAGGTGAATGCTGTAGTGTTCCAAAGGGAGCTGGGGATTGTTACTGAGGCTCTGCTGTATCATCCCACAAGCCCAAAAATGAAATGCAAACATCATTGGACACACTTTTGTTTTTGTTTTTTTAAAAATAATTTTTATACTTATAATATATTCCTTCACCTCTCCTTAATCTAATAACATTTTTTTTATATATTTAAATCGGTAATATTTCCCCCTATGTTTTTTTGTTTATTTCTCATTTTTAACCAATTATACCAATTATTCCATATTTTATAATATTCTGATTCTTCTCTTTCTTGTATTTCTTTGGTTAACCTATCCATTTCAGCACATTCTAAGGTTTTTTCTATTACTTCTATTTCATTTGGTGTTCTTACTTGCTTCCAATTTTTTGTGTAAGTTATTCTTGCAGCAGTTAATATGTGAATTGTGAGATATTTAATATCTTTAGGGTATGATTTGTTAAAGATTCCTAATAAAAATGTTTCTGGTTCTTTTTCTATCTGTGTTTCTGTTATTTGTTCTAACCATTTTTTAATGTTAGACCAAAATTTCTTTGCTGCCGGACAAGTCCACCATAAATGATAGAAAGTCCCTTGTGTCTTTTTACACTTCCAACAGATCGGGCTATTTTTAGGCTGTATTTTTACCAGTCTGGTTGGAGACATGTGCCACCTATAAAACATTTTCAGTTGGTTTTCCTTGTACGCCATTGCTTTCGTTAATTTTAGATTTATCTGCCAGAACTTTTCCCATTTTTCCAAAGGTATTGTGTGTTTGATGTTTTGAGCCCACTTAATCATCGTTTCTTTGACTGTCTCTTCTTCCAATTTATAGCGTAGAAGAAATTTGTAGATTCTACTAATTAATTTATTTTCTGAATCTAATATAATTTTATCTATTTCTTGTTTTTGGTTATGAATTTCATATGTTTTTATATGTTCTCTGTATTTGGATTGTATTTGAGTGTAAGTCCACCAGTCTATTTCTCTGTGTAAATCTGTCTCCAATTGTTGTTTTGTCTTTAATTTGCCTTGATAGTCAATTATATTTTTATATCTAATTATTTTATTTTACTGAGGCTCTGCTGTATCATCCCACAAGCCCAAAAATGAAATGCAAACATCATTGGACACACTTTTGGATGACCTCTGTTGGGAATGGAATGGGGATAGTATATTTATCCTGGCTCTTTATCACCTCTCATGTCAGGGTAATTATTTAAGATCTGACCAGCTGCAATGATGCAATGATGTAATGTTGGGAATGAGTCAGCAAGGTTTTTTGGCTATTATCCCTTTAAGAGCCTATATAATAAGAAGAGGCCCTATTAGGGCATCTCTCTCTCGCCATGCATTCTTCCCTGCCATAATTTACTGATTATTTGACTTCTGCCTATAGTACGTATATGTATAGTATATATTCTTTTGTAGGTAAAAACCACTATTTATTACAAACCTCTGTTTGCTGTTATTGTTCCTGGGTTGTCTCACGTAGTAAAGCTGTGTGCACTCTGACATTTCATCTTGATAATGATATGCTTAAGGGCAGTGGTCACCAACTGGTGGTCCGTGGACCACTGGTGGTCTGTGAGAAAATTTTGGGGGTCCGCAGAAAAATTATTTGCATTTTTTATATTGCACTAAATCAGGGGTCCTCAAACTACAACCCCTGGGACAGATATGTGCAATGAATGCTTGTGTTGCTGCAGAGAGCTCCCCCTTTGGGGTCTTTTTGTGTAGGTTGGAGGGGGGAAGAAATTCTGACTTGGATCTGTTTCAGCCTCCTGGTGCGGGGTTTTAGGTGAAGGCTGGAGGGAAGCACCGTTGGTGGCAAAAAAATGGAGGGCCAGCTGTTTTGCCAACTCTTTCTCATGGTGGCTGCTTAGCTCCAACAACTGCTTCCTGTAGGGGGCTAAGGAGCCCAGCGGGGAGGGGAGGAGTGGCTGGGAGGGGAGGGGTGAGTAGAGGCTGGCGAGGCACCCCTTGATGTGAGTGACATCAAGTTAGCCATGCCCACTCAGTCACATGACCACCTACCCACGCCCACCCAGCAGGTCATTAGGCAGATCATATTAGTGGTCTGTGGGATTTAAAATTATGAATTTAGAAGTCCCCGAGGTCCGAAAGATTGGGGATCCCTGCTTTATGGTAGATTCTAACATTGGGGATGGATTTCACAGTTGTATTGAGTTGAGGATAGATGCACAATGTCTTGAACTTTAAAGGCCTTGCTATTTCCCAGGCATATGAGTCAAGGAGTGGATGGGAACTGTTGTTTTTGTAGCTGAGTTGAACCAATGTATTTTGGGCACTGGAGGTTCTTTTGTCAAGTTATTATATATATGTATACACACAGACACAGACACACAAACCACTGTCCTGGGCAAACCCAGAGATTCAGCAGTAAAGATGGCACCCAAAGATCAGCTGCTGAGAAAGTGCCAGAGGCAGCAGCAGGCATGGGAATGAGATCAAGCAGAGAAAATGAAATGGCAAGACAAAACCCTGCACGTGATGTGTCATTGACAGATGGGTGAGGTGGCTGACACTAGGAAATCCTACCAGTGGCTGGAAAGATGTGGACTAAAAGACAACAATGAGGCATTCATCATAACAGCATAAGAACTGGCACTAAGCACCAGCTCAATAGAAGCAGGATCTATTGCATTAGACAGGACCCAAGGTACAGACTGTGCAGAGACTTCAGAGACAGTCCAACACATAGTGGCAGATGTAAAATGTAGGCAGGAGCAGCATAACCTGAATGGCACAACCAAGTAATTGATGCTGTGTATAGGAAGATCTGTACAATGTATGGATTAGTCCCTCCCAAGGACCTCATAACCTCATAAACGAGGTTCTAGAGAAGGTTGTGGAGAATAATAGGGCTAAGATCCTGTTGGACTTCCAGATCCAGATAGAAAGACAGGTTTAATCAATTAATCAACTAGAGATCATGGGAAAAGATAAGGAGGAGAAGACAGAGGAAGTGATAGATGTAATGGCACAAAGACACAACACCAGGGAGGAGGAATACGAGAAGCTGGAGAAGTATCAGAGCATGAAAGAGCATGTGAAAAGTAAAAGGCAAAATGGTCCCAGTAGTCGTAGGAGCACTAAGGGCTTTATGACTCCTATGCTTTCAAAACAGATTAGACACACTGACACACACAAACATATCAAATGCATAGCTAAAACACCATTGACTAATTCGAAAGAATTAAGGGTCATCCAGGTTTATATTCTACTAATGATTTTTGGTGTTTAGCTTTTCTTTCTTATTTAGATCAGGTCTCCATACAATGACAAAACATTTGGGGAAAAAGATGCAAATCAATATTCCAACACTGGAGGCTATGATAGAGAAGATCTCCACAGCAACCATATATTTTCCTTTTGTGCTCAGGTATGTTGGAACAAAGGACAACCAGACACTGCAGAAGACCAACATGCTGAAAGTGATAAATTTTGCTTCATTGAAAGCATCAGGTAATTTCCTTGCTAGGAAAGCCAGTGTGAAGCTAATAAAGGCAAGGAAACCCATGTAGCCCAAGACACAGTAGAACATGTAGGTGGATCCTTCATTGCATTCCAGGACTATTTCTTCTGCCATGGAACTCATATTAGCATCAGGGAATGGAGGAGATGTTATCAGCCACACCATGCAAATAATCCCTTGAACAAAGGAGCAGCCAAATACTACAGACATGGCAAGTTTTTCCCCCACCCATTTGGTGATCTTGGTCCCAGGCTTGGTGGCCATAAAAGCCAGAACCACAATGATAGTTTTGGTTAAAACACAAGATATGGCCACTGAGAAGACAACTCCAAAAGCAGTTTGACGAAGGACACATGTCATCTTGGATGGTTGGCCAATAAATAGCAAAGCACAAAGAAAAGATAACACAAGAGCGACCAGGAGAACGTAGGTCAAGTTCCGATTATTGGCTTTGACTAGAGGAGTATCCTGATGTTTAATAAAAATCCAGAAGACTACAGCTGTAATGAAAGAACAGAAAATAGCAGAGCTGGCTAAAATGGTCCCCAAAAGTTCTTCATACATCAAGAAAGTTAATGCTTTTGGGAGACACAGATCTTGGCTATTGTTTGGGTACTGATCTTCTGAACAATGAAAACAGACATCCATATCTAGAAAAGAAATGATTAGTTTAAATACAGGGTGGTTCTGAAATTCTTTTCACTAATCAAATGTGAACATGAGCATCATCAAATAATAATTAATTAGAATTTGAGAACGAAAAAACTTTCTACCATTTGCATAAAGGTCTATCACCAGAAATGACTAACAAGTCGGGACATGTGTTGCATTTCAAATAAATACAATTACTAGGTAACTCTCAAATTTTTCTTCAGAACAAAAACAAAACAAACAAAAATATTCTGTTTGCTTCTTGTATATTAAAAAGCAGACGTGATGTATCCATGGTTTGTGAACTTGTGGCATTTGCAATTGAAATTTGTAACTGGAATTTTATTTTGTAATCTGTAAAAATGCTTGTTTTTACATGGCTTTCTATCTTGAAGTCTCACTGTTACTCTTGAAAATCACACATAAAAAATTACTAATTGACAGCTGGGGATCATGGAGACACAGTCTAAAATTATTACTCCTGCAGTTGAATATGCACTATTTTACAGCACTGTTTGTTTTAATTTTCAAAGGCAGATTAAAAATTGTTATGACACCTTGAGACTATTTGCATACAAACCCTTTCTGATGATGCTACCAGATGCAGGTAAGTTTGACAGTAAATGAACTCCAAATGTTATCTCAATTAATTGGTCTTAACTCATAAAGTAATAATCACAACATTAAGAATGATTTTACCATTTAGGAGTTCGGAAAGAGATCAAGAAGTCCAATGTGATCTCTGCTTTTATTTTAATTTGCATAATCAATTTTATATGTCTATTTCTAAAACAGTTGAGAAGACAAACTTGCTATATCCAGTTATACCACAAATAAAATAATCACAAATAATGTCATTAATAACAATCAAATAGCCACATATTTTTGTCCATCTATTGGCATTTCCTATGGACTTGGAATAGACAGATGTTGATGTTTGATGGTGTTAGATGTATTGTCACAGGATATAAGCTGTTCTGAGTAAACTTGCCTTTTGCAATTGATCAATGGTGATTTTGTCAATGGTGTTTAAGTGGTGAACCCAAGGCATCTATTATTATTGGTACATACATAGATTACATAGTCACCTATTTTCCTGGTACCATATTTTTCAGAGTATAAGACGCACCTTAGTTTTTGGGGAGGAAAATAAGAAAAAAGCTGATTGGCAGGTGGATTGGTCACCCGGAATACCCCCAATCAGCTGTTTCCAGAGGTGAATTTTAACAACAGGTTCCTTGGTTGTGAGCTCTGTGCCTTGGGTTTTTTTTTTTTTTTTTTTGCTTTTTTTTTCTGCCTCTGAAAGCCTCTGAAACAGAAAAAAAGCCTCTGAAGCTCTGTTTGGAGGCTTTTTTTCTGAAACTCTGTTTGGGGGCTTCTTTTCTGAAGCTTTGTTTCTGATGCTTTTTTCAGCCTCTGAAACCTCTGTTTGAGAAGCTGGGAGGGGCTACATTCAGAGTATAAGAAACACCCAGATTTTCACCCTCTTTTTTGGGGGGGGAAAGGTGCGTCTTATACTCTGAAAAATACTGTAAGTAGAGTCGGTTAATATCACCTCATGGGTGAAGGGCAAGATTCATTGCTACTATTTTTTTGGTTTTCCTATCTAGGGCTTTTAACTCTGTATATGTCCAGTTTACTATTCCAGCTGTTTATGTGGTTGGGTTGTTGTGGTTCTCTGAACTTTCTTCTGTTCCTGCAGACATTTCATTACCAGACTAAGTAACATTATCACTCCATTGGAGATGAAGTTTGCTGATTGGTTCTAGAGCAGGGGTGTCAAACACAAGGCCTGAAGGGCCAGATCCAGCCAATGGAATGCTTAGATCTGGCCCATGAGGCCACCCTGGAAATAATGAAGGACCGGCCCACAGTGCCTCTGCCAGCAAAAACAGAGGTTGGGAGGGCTGCGTGCGGCCCTCCCTAGTTCCATTTTCACTGGCAGAGGGTTGGAGGAGGCCATCACTGCCAAAAACAGAGCTTGTGTGGGCCATGGCCAGCACTCTCTTCCTGAAGGCTTCTGATGGGACTGCAGAACTGGCACTGCAAGTCGAGGCAGGTGTCGGAGTCTGTGAAGCCTGGTAAGTAGGGCAGCTCCACACACCCCATCCCCACCCTGGCTTAATTTTTACCTGTGCACATCGCCTCACCCCCTACACCCCGGAATGGGCAGGGTCTTAATTAGGTCTTATTTTGGGGTAGGGCATATATTGGGCGCATGTGCAAAAAATCAAGCTAGGACTTACTTTCAGGGTAAGTCATATTTTTGGGAAAACATGGTAGACAGAAAGAAGACATAGTATAAATCACTGTGAAAGATTTCATTTCAAATGTCCAAAAACATTCTGGGACAAGATATTCTACACACTGGGAACCACTATGGAAAACATTCTCTTTAGGTTCCCCTGACATCTCATAACAGATTGAGAAGATATTTTTGTGTGTCTTTTTATCCCATTGTTTCCCTTTTTTGGAACACAACACAACTTTTTGTAAAAGTGGCAAAATCATCTTTAGATGGTTGACTATGATATTCCAGTTCAGTAAGTTATTTCAATAAATCAGAGTTGCTATATATAAAAGGAGAAAAAAAGCAGATATTGTTGAACTCCTAAGGAGCTGTTCATTATCTCTTAAGGCTTTGTGTAATATTTGTGAAATTATTTTATCAGTTAAACTATTTAACATTTAGAATAAAAAGTTATTCTAAACCTTTTAATTATCTTTATTCTTTGGTCTTTGGATAACACATACAAATTATGCATGTGATTTATGGGATCCCAAACTACCTTTTTATCAAATTCACATATGCCACCATCAGTGGTGAAATTCAATTTTTTTTACTACCGGTTCTGTGGGCATGGCTTGGTGGGTGTGGTGTGGCTTGGTGGGCGTGGCTTGGGAAAGATACTGCAAAATCTCCATTCCCACCCCACTCCAGGGGAAGAATACTGCAAAATCCCCATTCCCTCCCCACTCCTGGGGGAAGGATATTGCAAAATCTCCATTTCCACCCCACTCTGGGGCCAGCCAGAGGTGGTATTTGCCAGTTCTCTGAACTACTCAAAATTTCCGCTATCAGTTTTCCAGAACCTGTCAGAATCTGCTGGATTTCACCCCTGGCCACCATGCTTTTTCATGGTCTCTCCATACACACAATGACTTGTGGAAAACGTACGAGAGTAGGAAAAAGCCATGGAGGATTTTATTTCTGAATGTAATAGGAGGGTGGGATGTTGGATCTATAAATATTTTTAACAATGGAATAATGATGAAAAATAATCTAAACTGTAATTGGACCATACCTGGTTAAATCTCCTAGGCCACACAATAGATTCTTCAGGAGAAGAAAACATTATTTTTTGAGAATCCATGCCATTGATCCCTCCAATTCTGACTCTCAGAAAAGACTGATTTGGAAATATGATCCAGTTCATAATATCAAATCCAACCTCCAACTCTCCATACTGGTTGAAGGAAACTTTTTCCCCTGCACTGTTATTGAAAGACACCCTCCTTACAAACTGATTGCACTACATTTTTTAAAAGAAGAAAAAGCAAAAAGAGTACCGTAAACATTTCAGTACATTAAAAATAATGTTCCCTTCTCTTTGTCTTCTTTAGGACAATTATCACTTTCAAACAGAATAAAACATATAACAAGCGGCACAAATTAATAAAAGATCTACATCCGTGAAGAACGATTGACTGAAAACTGAATTAAAAAAACCTCCCAATTTTATTTCAGGAAAACATTAAAATGATTACTTTCAATCATAGTTTGGTAAGGAGAAAAAAATTGCAATTACATTTAACATTGAATATCTCAATGTTATTGGGGATTGGGAAGTGGTGGCTCAGTGGCTAAGACCTGAGCTTGTCGATCGAAAGTTCAGTGGTTCAAATCCCTAGTGCCACGTAACAGGGTGAGTTTTTGTTACTTGTCCCAGCTTCTGCCAACCTAGCAATTTGAAAGCACGTAAAAAAAATTGCAAGTACAAATATAGGGACCACCTTTGGTGGGAAGGTAACAGCGTTCCGTGTGCCTTTGGCATTTAGTCATGCTGGCCACATGACCACAGAGACACCTTTGGACATCGCTGGCTCATCAGATTTATTTATTTATTTATTTATTTATTTATTTATTTATTTATTTATTTATGTAATTTATATGCAGCCCTTCTCCCATATGACTCAGGGTGGCTTACAAAATGGAACAAAGAATTACATAAACAATTTAAAGTCAGTTTAAAGTTAAATTAAAATCAATTAAAAATTATTAAAATTATTTGAAATCACCCCTATGGATTCAGACCATTTGATGAAAAAGCCACGTCTTCAATTCGCGGCGGAAGGAGAGGAGGTCCGGGGCTGTCCTGAGGCCAGTGGGCAACCCATTCCAGAGGGTCAGCGCTCCCACAGAGAACGTTCTCCCCCTGGGGGCCGCCAGCCAACATTGTCTGGCTGACGGCACCCTGAGGAGGCCCGCTCTGTGTGAGCGCGCCGGACGGTGGGAGGAAGGCAGGAGATGATCCTGCAGATACCCCAGGCCTAAGCCATGTAGGGCTTTATAGGTGAGCACCAGCACCTTGAAACGAACCCGGAGAGCCACCGGCAGCCAGTGCAGCTCGCGCAGGAGAGGTGTCACACAGGAGTACCGAGAAGCCCCCGTAACAACCCGTGCAGCTGCATTCTGGACTAATT